TGCTGTTTCTCGCTTCTCTCATAAAATGCTGTGAGAGAACCTCATGCAATGTGGCATGTTTTTTCGAAAATCCTCGAGGTGCACATATTTTGTTAAGCGGGTAGCTATCTTAAAGAACAGTCAACAACTAAAAAAAAGAGATTTATATAGTATAATTTTTTAGGGAATTTATATAGTATAATTGATATAGAAACAGGAGTGCTCCTATATGACGCCCATTGCGTCTTATAGTTATGATAACGTATGAGCACGCTTTGCGTACCGGGCACCTAGTTCGGGTGTCGTCATGTTTGTTTCCCCGAGCGCTAGTATGGTTTGGTTTTTAGCAATTTATTCTTTGGTTTTTCTGGTTTGCACTGGCCTTTCCAGCCTTTTTACTCTGAGTTTTTTCTAATGTTACATGGACATTTTCAAATATGCGTGAAAATTTTACAAAAAAACATTGATCACTCTTTTTTAATGTTCACCATGGATTTAAAACATATTGTATTTTAGAAAAAAATTGATGCTTCTTGGAAAAATATTGGCCATGCATTTAAAATATGGGGTGTATTTTTTAAAACCAAATCATATATGCAAGAAAATATATTTTTACCAAGATGTTTTTTTAAAAAAATGGTGTATTTTCACTATTGAGAAGAAACTAACTGAACAGAAAAAAAATACTAGAAACAAACCAATCATGCAAAAAGCTAGAAAAAAAAGATCGTCGGTTCCCTTCTAAATCGACTCGCATGGGCAGTCATTGCACACGAGCGTTTGCTCCCCCATTCCTGGTCACTAGTCTCATGTCTGATGGTCCGGAAAGTTTATTTGTTGAATAAAGCTCTCTTAATTCCCTGAAAAAGATAGAATTTACCTCGTACCATGTGGCATTTTTCTCAAAACCCCCAACTATGATTTTTGAGGCAAATCCTAAACGGCGCCCGCTGCGCCCCTTTTTGTTCTTTTCACTAACGGGCGCATACCCCCACAGCGGCTTGGGCTCGGCCCTTCTACATTCTTTTTTCTTCTTTCATCCCGCAAAAAAAGCACGAAAGTGGGTGGGAATCGAACCCACGACCTCTTCGCTCTATGCAAGTCACTGTAAACAACAGGACAACCAGATCACATGTGTTCATTTACATTCTCTTCCTTCTTTTGTTTTTTTCTTTCCTTTTCTTTTTTTCCTTTTCTCTTTTAATTTCTTTTTCTTTGTTAAATGCATGAACCTTTTTCAATTTCTTGAAAAAAAATCAAAATCCGATGGACCCTTTTCAAATTCGTGAACTGTTTTGCCAAATCGATGAACTTTTTTTCAAAACCGATGAACTCTTTGTCAAAAGAGATGGACTCTTTTTCAAAATTGATGAACTCTTTTTTTGAAATCGATGAAATCTTTTTGAAAATCGATGAACTCTTTTTTCGAAATCAATGAACCCCTTTTCGAAATTGATGAACTCTTTTTGAAAATCGATGAGCTCTTTTCCAAATCGATGAACTTTTTTTCAAGATCGATGAACCCTTTTTCGAAATCGATGAACTCTTTTGAAAATCGATGAACTCTTTTCCAAATCGATGAACTTTTTTCAAAATCAACGAACTCTTTTCAAAATCACTGAACTCTTTTCAAAATTGTGAACTTTTTTCAAAACCGATGAACTTTTTTCAAAATCAGTGAATTTCTTAGAAAAATCGATGAACTTTTCTTAAAATTCATGAAATTTCTAAAAATCGATGATCTTGTTTTCAAATTTACCTTTTCTTTTTTCAAGATAATTTATATTGGCTCTTACTAAAGAAAACGTTAAATAGGAAGGTTTTATAGAATTGGACGGAAGAGCTAGCTTTGTTGAGTGCTTAATGCATTAAGCTGTGGATGGGGTGGTTCTGGGTTCGAATACCAGCTATCCCATGCTATATTTCTCAATTACAATTAGTTTCTTTATTTATTTTTCTTCGAACAACACCAGGCCAATATAAAACAAAGAAACTAACCCCTCACAAAACTTTTTGGACACACCGCTTTCGCGCTCCTCCATGTCCACATTTTATCTATGATATGATCGGTGTGTTTCTGCTCCTAATTGTAGAAAACCATCGCATTTCTTTGTTTGGATATATTCCAAGAGATGAAGATGACAATGGTGTCAAATCCTTTCCTTGCACTTTCCTGAAAATTATTTCTTGAATTCAACCACCAATCCTCCAGAATGTCAATCGCCGACGGTATGGGGATCGTGGGTGATCTTATTCATTCTCCTTTACATAATTGAAATTCGAAAGTATCAAAACCAGCATGACATAAGCTCCAAGCCTCACTCAGGAGGATTCCAGTCATCACCAGATCATGCTCTCTCTACTTGAGGGCATTGTCCAGAGTGAGGGTGTCGGATTCAAAAATCACCCTATGCAGCCCCGGTTCGAGCCCAACCTCAACTGCTTTAACTCATGCCATCGCTTCTGCGTGTAAAGGATTAGACAAATGGTCAAGCTTCCCGGCTGCAGCCGCAAGGAACTCTGGGTGCACTTCTGTTGATCTTTGAAGAAAAAACATTGTAGAGAAAGAGGTTTATAATATAATATGCACCCTATTTTCCTAAATATAAGACATTTTGACAGTTTATAAACTAAAATGCCAAAACGAGTTACATCTAGGAACAAAGGCAATATTTTTTTAAGAAACACTTGTAACTTTATTCATCTCATAACAATTACAGGTACACTGATTTGGACCTAAGATCCAAAAAAATACAGAGTACTCTCTTCGTCTCATAATATAAGAGCGTTTTTTACACTACAGATACACTCATTTGGACCTACTAAATATACACTACACTGATTTCTCCAAGGTACACTGTATTTTCATATATTATGAGACGGAGGGTGTAACTCCTAAACTAATCTTTATTCTAATAATAAAGCAAATTGGATTTCTTTCGTCCGTCATGGCATTTTTCAGAAAAGTCTTTCTATTTAAGAGAATTCAACCCGTAGTCCTATTTTTTTGGAGAGCACACAAATTGTGTACCTTAGCTTTATAGAAGATAGAGAATAAAATACAAGAAGCTCCCACCACATCCCGGTGAGAAGCAAGAACCACCCGCAGTCCTATTTTAAGTTAAAACGAATCGTTCCTTTTGTATTTTTTACACAAAAGTCCATGTCTTTTCTTGAAATCAATCCGCCGTCCGGATTTAAGTCACACCCGCATCGTTATTTTACATTTTTTGAAACCCCCCTTGATGTTTTAGTAATTCATCCGCGGATCATATTTAAGTCAAACAAGTGCTTTTTAAAATCATCCATATCTTTTAAACCGTGACTCCGATTTGAACATGTTATATATGAAATTTGATTAGAAAAATTTGTAGAATATGAATATGAGATTATTTTTACCTGTTAAGTATTATTAAATATTATTTTGGAATATATTTGAGTCAAACCAAATGATTTTCTAAATTATCTGCATCTTTTAAACCGTAACTTTGATTTTAACATATTATATATGAAATTTTATTATAAAAATATGTGAAATCTAAATATGATGTTAATTTTACCTGTTAAATATTTTTAAAATATTGTTATGGAAGCAAACTTATAATTTATAGCGCAAGATTCGTTTTTTTCATACCGGTGACGATCCAGATTGCAAATAAACACCCCACTATAACCATATAGGGAAAATAAAACATCGATAACTACACATGCATACTTCTGAAAAATGTCGCAGGGAAAAACAACAGATTTCTCATCGCGAGAGAGAGAGAGAGAGAGAGAGAGAGAGAGAGAGAGAGAGAGAGAGAGAGAGAGAGACGTCTTAGGATTAACCATATTCAACACACATTCTTTATTGTTTTGTGTGAACACCGAGGCCATCACCGGCGAGAGTGAGAAGGAGGATAAGCGGCAACACAAATATGATGCCTCACAAAAATAAAGGAGATGGACCTATTATGGTCTTGAGTGATGGTTGTTGAGTTAAGAACGTGTGTTATGTTTTCTCTTCCGTTACAACGCACAGGCTCTTTTGCTAGTAATTATAATAAAATCTCTCGAAAACACCTTATTTGTGGTATTAATCTCTGCTGAAAGAAAAGAGAGAAACATGAGTGGAGTGCCAAATGGGCCACTGCATTTACACAGCCCAACGGGTTGCATTCACGCAGCGGCAGCCTTCATTTGTTTCGATCGTCGAGCGTATCTCACGACGGGGATGTGTTTGCTGAAAAGAAAAGAAAAAAAACTCACGATGGGGATACATCACATGCGGTCAATTACCCAAACTCCTGCGATTCCCCATTAAATGCCTGATGCGTACAACATAAGTCCATGCCGTGTCAGGCAAAAGAGTTACGTGGACGGATCTCCGTCGAACAGCAGCCCTTCGTTCTGCACCGGCCGAAGCCGCCGCGCTGTCAATCTGCCATTCTCCGCTTCATTTTTCTCATACTTTTCTTCGGTTTCCCCCGGCGCACGTTTGAGTTTTTTGAACCCGTTCCATGGCGGCGAGACCCCGCGGGGCTCAGACCAAAGTATCCGATCGGACGGCGGGCGTCGCCGCGAGTTCTCGGTCCAGAGAAGAGAAGGGAAGCCAAGGCAGGAGCGTGTTCTGCGCTTGGCCACACAGTCCCCATCGGAGTAACCGAAGCGGCCTAGTAGTTCGAGCGATCTGGCGCGCGGTCTCGGCCGTTGGATCGAATCGGACGGCTCGCGGGGCGCCCACGGCGCACTTCGATTTCCCTACTTCTTCCTCCAGATTTCCAGTTTCCCTGCTACTTCTTCCTCCAGGTTTGCACACGCGTACGAAACCAATCCTCTCGGCGGCTTGACGTCTTTGCCTTGCTTCTTGATTGAGTCCAGTCACCTCTCTCCTCTTCCCCTTTGGAGCTCCCTCGCTCCGTCCCTGTCCATTTATAGCCTCCGAGAAAGTGCAGTGCGCCCAAGGGAGTGTACCGAGAGCCTCCCTCCATGGCCGCTGGTCTCTCGGGCTCCACCATGGCCAGCTTCGCCGTCAAGAACCCTCTGCTCGCCGCGGCCGCGCGCTTCCGGACGCTGCCTTCCCGCGCCGGCCGGCCTCTGCCGTTCTCCCCGTTCACGCGGACGGCGCGCAGGCGCGGGCAAGAGACCGTCACGTGCTTCGTCCCGCAGGAGGGCCAGGCGCCCGGCCCGGCTCCCGAGCCCGTGCCTTCGCTGGAGGAAGAGGCGGCGTCCGCGGCGGCGCGCCGCGTGGCGGAGAGGAAGGCGCGGAAGCAGTCCGAGAGGCGCACGTACCTGGTGGCCGCCGTCATGTCCAGCCTCGGCGTCACCTCCATGGCCATCGCCTCCGTGTACTACCGCTTCGCCTGGCAAATGGAGGTACGTGCCAGCCATTCGTTTTCGCTATCTTTCCTCGTTGACGTTAGCGAGTGGCGACGCCGTAGCCGCCATTTTAGTGCGCGGACGGTTGGGCTTGACTGGTAGCCGTTGCTGAAATTGACATGCGCGCGCGTTCGTGCAGGGCGGCGAGGTGCCGATGACCGAGATGCTGGGCACGTTCGCGCTCTCCGTCGGCGCAGCGGTAAGCCAGCGGCACCTTGGTAGAACTCTTGCTCGCCGGCGGCGAAGAACTCCAGGCTAAAATTCGGGCGTGATGCAGGTCGGGATGGAGTTCTGGGCGCAGTGGGCGCACAAGGCGCTGTGGCACGCCTCCCTGTGGCACATGCACGAGTCGCACCACCGGCCGCGCGACGGGCCCTTCGAGCTCAACGACGTCTTCGCCATCATCAACGCCGGGCCGGCCATCGCCCTCCTCGCCTACGGCTTCTTCCACCGCGGCCTCATCCCCGGCCTCTGCTTTGGCGCGGTAAGCCACTCAGCCGTAAACCAAAACCGCCGAAGCCACACACTCTCTTTCTGTCTCTCTGGTTCGCCGGGCCCATCTGTCGGAACCATCCGATTAGGGTCTGACTCGCCACGTGTCTGTCTCCTACAGGGCCTTGGGATTACGCTTTTCGGCATGGCATACATGTTCGTGCACGACGGCCTGGTCCACCGCCGGTTCCCCGTCGGCCCCATCGCGGACGTGCCCTACTTCCGGCGAGTGGCTGCCGCTCACAAGGTACGTACGGCGAGGCTAACGACCTCTTGCTCGTGGGTGCAGTAGCCAGTGCGTGCCAATTTGGTGAATTTTCCTGATTTTTTTTTTGCTGATTATGTGGTGGTGGCTCCGTGGCAGATACACCACATGGACAAGTTCGAGGGGGTACCGTATGGGCTTTTCCTGGGACCCAAGGTGAGTGCGAGGCGCATGGCGCCTATCGTTTTGTCCTCTCGCGTGCTGTGCTGTGCTGTGCTGTGCTGTGACCACTGACCCAAGTGACACAGTACGGGACAAGCACCCTGATCTTCCTTGTAAACCGTCCGTCTCAACGCGCCTCTGGTTGTGGTGAGTGCAGGAGCTGGAGGACGTTGGTGGCCTCGACGAGCTGGAGCAGGAGCTCGCCAGGATCAACCGGACTCGGAGCATCTGAAGGACTCTGGACATGGCGGCATACGCAGCCAGAAGAGCCTTATGATCTCATCTAGCAGATGAACTACAATTCAAGATTTTTTGTTACTTTTTGGTGGTTGCTATTGATTTAATTGATGGTACTGGAGATGGGGAGTCCAGGGCCAGAAGCAAAGCTAATGATCAGGCAGTGGTGGTGGTGTACTCCCTGTTGTTACTCGGCTGCAGGGGGCGTGGATGTGTCCAAACAGTTCTAGGAAGAAGCACAGATGGTTCATGAGGCTGTGACATGATTTTATTTTTTTTCCTGCCTTCGAGGTCTCACCGCGTCCATATTTTTGTTTTGTGGAGAACCAACTCCATGTATTGTTCTTATATATGGCTAGAAACTACGCTTCTGTGTATAACAAGTAGAGAAGGTTGTGAACCACTTCAATGAAAGTAAAAGTTGGCGGTTGGCAAGAACGCTGGAGATTCAGTACTTTTCCATGTTTCCTCCTTTCTCCACCAGACAGAATGTCACACTATCTTTCTTTTTTGTGAGATAGAATGCCACACTATTGTTGTTGCTACTCATAGCATCTCTTCCAACTCTAGCCACTCCTGATTTCCTAAACACGGAGATGTACAAACATCACTGTTGATTTTGAAGAGAAGAACAAAATAATAATAATAATAATCAAAACTAACATTGGCCAGCCCATTCGCCATTGCAATCACAATTAATAATCACCGCCCTTCCCCTCCCAAAGAAAAAACACATCAACGGTGGAGGTCCATACCCCTTCATAATTAAGGGATAATTAAGTCAAGTCTATGTATATACTTGATAAAAATGGCAGGACTGTTTCTGCCCGTCCGTCGCGTGTTTTGTAGAAAACTTCCCGCCTTCTTTGATAATTAACCCGCAGTTTATCTTTAAGTGACATAAATTAAAAAGAAACTCATTAATATTTGGGTTGATTAACCTGAAATCCATCTAGAAAAAAATGCTTTTAATATATAATTTTTTAAACCCTAACTCTAGTTCTAACATGTTATATATGAAATTTGATTTAAAATGTGTAGAATCTGAATATGATGTTATTTTATCTGTTAACCACTTTTAAAATTCAATTTAAAGTGCAATCTTAATTAATTGTGCATGATTCTTCTTTTTTCGTACCCGTGCTGATCCGGATTGTAAATTAACACCTCAACAAAACCAGGTTGAAGATGAAAGAACCATCGATAACCATGCATGCACGCCTCGGCAAAAACACACAGGGGAAAAGAAAGCAGATTTTGGTCTTATGCTGAGAGAGAGAGACGCCTTAGGATTGACCAGATTCAAACACGTTGTATTTGTGTGAGCACTGAGAACACCATCAACGAGGATGGAAAGGAGGATAAGCGTCAACACATATGGGATCCCATGTTGAAATAAAGGACGTGGACCTATTGGGCTCTTGAGTCATGGTCATTGGGTTAGGGGCGCGTGGTATTTTTTCTTCCATTGCAATTCATGGGTGAGGGAGTCCTGGATTAGGGGGTGTCCGTATGGCCGGACTATACCTTCAGCCGGACTCCTGGACTATGAAGATACAAGATTGAAGACTTCGTCCCGTGTCCGGAAGGGACTTTCCTTGGCGTGGAAGGCAAGCTTGGCGATACAGATATGCAGATCTCCTACCATTGTAACCGACTTTGTGTAAACCTAACCCTCTCCGGTGTCTATATAAACCGGAGGGTTTTAGTCCGTAGGACAACATACAGAACAACAAGCATACCATAGGCTAGCTTCTAGGGTTTAGCCTCTCCAGTCTCGTGGTAGATCTACTCTTGTACTACCCATATCATCAATATTAATCAAGCAGGACGTAGGGTTTTACCTCCATCAAGAGGGCCCGAACCTGGGTAAAACTTCATGTCCCTTGCCTCCTGTTACCATCCGGCCTAGACGCACAGTTCGGGACCCCCTACCCGAGATCCGCCAGTTTTGACACCGACATTGGTGCTTTCATTGAGAGTTCCTCTGTGTCGTCGCCGTCAGGCTTGATGGCTCCTACGATCATCAATAGCGATGCAGTCCAGGGTGAGACCTTCCTCCCCGGACAGATCTTCGTCTTCGGCAGCTTCGCACTGCGGGCCAATTCACTTGGCCATCTGGAGTAGATTGAAAGCTATGCCCCTGGCCGTCAGGTCGGATTTGGAAGTTTAAACTACACGACTGACATCCGCGGGGACTTGATCTTAGACAGATTCGAGCCACTGCCGAGCGTGCCGCACTGTCACGAAGAACATGATCTAGCTCTGCCGCCGAATAGTGCCCTGGAGGCCGCACCCACATCGGCTTTGACCCTTAATTCGGAGCCAACTGCGCCGATCGAGGATAGGTGGTTGGCCGCCACCTCGGGGGCTGCGATCCCAACGGTGATCGAGCCGAACACCAGCCCCGCACTCCGCGAGACTCGTGACTCCAAGGAGTCGGACTCCTCTCCGGACTCCGAACCCTCCGTGCCCCTGCCAATCGAATCCGATTGGGCGCCGATCATGGAGTTTACTGCCACGGACATCTTTCAGCACTCGCCTTTCGGCGATATTTTGAAGACACTAAAGTCTCTCTCTTTATCAGGAGAGCCCTGGCCGGACTATGGTCAGCAAGGTTGGGATACGGATGATGAAGAAATTCAAAGCCCACCCACCACCCACTTTGTAGCCACTATCAACGATTTAACCGACATACTCGACTTCGACTCCGAAGACATCGACGGTATGGATGCCGATGCAGGAGACGATGAAGAACCAGCGCCTATTAGGCCCTGGAAAGCCACCTCGTCATATGACATATACATGGTGGACACCCCAAAAGAAGGAGATGGCGATGGAACAGCGGAGGATGACCCCTCCAAGAAACAGCCTAAGCGCCGGCGTCAGCGGCGCCGCTCAAAATCCCGCCAAAGCAAATACGGTGATTCCAGCATAGGAGATAATAATACTCCGGAGAGTGCCGAAGAAAACCCCCTCCAGCAAGATTCAGCATAGGAGGATGGAGAAGCCAGCCCTCATGAGAGAGCGGCAGACAGAGAGGTCGAGGACGATAATTGTATGCCTCCCTCCGAAGACGAGGCAAGCCTCGACGACGACGAATTCGTCGTGCCAGAGGATCCCGTCGAGCAAGAGCGTTTTCAATGCAGGCTTATGGCCACGACAAGAAGCCTCAAGAAAAAATAGCAACAACATAGAGCTGATCAAGATTTGCTAGTCGACGGATGGACTGAAGTCCTTGCGGCCGAAGAGCATAAACTCGAACGCCCCTCCAAGAGCTACCCAAAGCGCAGGGTGCTACCCCGATTAGAGGAGGAAGCACTTAAACCTACATCACCGGCACTTGATACGGCCGACCGGCCACCTCGTGGCCGTGACAGAGAGGCCTCTTGGCCCTCCACTCAAACCGCACCCCGTACCAAGGCACGGGAAAATGCGCCAGACCTGCGAGATATGTTGGAGGACAAGGCAAGGCAAACAAGATCGATCTACGGATCGCGTGGGCGCCCCACGACTCGAGACGGTAACCGTCACGCCGGACACAAATCCGGTAGGGCCGAACACAGTAGACAAAGCTCATTGGAGCTACGTCGGGATATAGCCCAGTACAGAGGCGCCGCACACCCACTATGCTTCATAGACGAAGTAATGGATCACTAAATCCCCGAGGGTTTCAAACCCGTAAACATCAAATCATATGATGGCACAACAGATCCTACGGTATGGATCGAGGATTATCTCCTTCATATTCACATGGCCCGCGGCGATGATCTCCACGCCATCAAATACCTCCCACTCAAGCTTAAAGGACCAGCTCGGCATTGGCTTAACAGCTTGCCAGCAGGATCAATCGGTTGTTGGAAGGACCTGGAAGCCGCATTCCTCGACAATTTCCAGGGCACCTATGTGCGACCATCAGACACCGATGACCTAAGCCACGTAATTCAGCAGCCAGAGGAATCGGCCAGGCAATTCTGGACACGGTTCCTAACAAAGAAAAATCAAATAGTCAACTGTCCGGATGCAGAGGCCCTAGCAGCCTTCAAGCACAATATCTGTGACGAGTGGCTTGCCCGGCACCTTGGACAGGAAAAACCGAAATCTATGGCAGCACTCACGACACTCATGACCCGCTTTTGCACGGGAGAAGACAGCTGGCTTTCTCGTAGCAACAATATGACCAAGAACCCTGGTAATTCGGATACCAGGGACAGTAGTGGCAGGTCGCGTCACAACAAGCAGAAGCGTCGCATTAACGGCGACAATGCTAAGGATACGGCAGTTAATGCCGGATTCAGAGGCTATAAATCCGGTCAGCGGAAAAAGCCATTCAAAAGAAATCCTAGGGGGCCGTCCAGTTTGGACCGAATACTCGACCGCTTGTGCCAGATACATGGCACCCCTGAAAAGCCGGCCAATCACACCAACAAGGATTGTTGGGTGTTCAAGCAGGCAGGCAAGTTAAATGCCGAAAATAAAGGCACGAGACTGCATAGCGATGACGACGAAGAGCCCCGGCCGCCAAACAACAGTGGACAGAAGGGTTTTCCACCACAAGTGCGGACGGTGAACATGATATACGCAACCCACATCCCCAAGAGGGAGCGGAAGCGCGCGTTAAGGGACGTATATGCGGTAGAGCCAGTCGCCCCAAAGTTCAACCCATGGTCCTCCTGCCCGATCACCTTTGATAGAGGGGACCATCCCACTAGCACCCGTCATGGCGGATTCGCCGCATTGGTTCTAGACCCAATCATTGACGGATTTTCTCACTAGAGTCCTTATGGACGGCGGCAGCAGCCTGAACCTACTTTACCAGGATACAGTGCGGAAAATGGGCATAGATCCCTCGAGGATTAAGCCCACCAAAACGACCTTTAAAGGCATAATACCAGGTGTAGAGGCCAACTGTACAGGCTCAGTCACACTTGAAGTGGTCTTCAGATCTCCAGATAATTTCCAAAGCGAGGAGTTAATCTTCGACATAGTCCCATT